AATTTCATTTTGTAGCATATGTGGATGATGTTTCTTTGTGTATGTTGAGAATTAACAATGTAGGACAAAGGGCTAGCTATGTCATTAAATTTGTTTGCTAGAAGGCATGGACTTTGGTATTGATCATCCCAATCTTTTATAAAAGTTTAAGTCATTGCTTGGACTTTTTAAGTTAAGATGTAGGTTAAATTAGGCTAGAACACAACAATTTTGAACTGTCCATTATTTGGTAGCAGAGAAAATAAGGAAAGAAGAAAAACTTTAAGATTAACAAGTTTCTATAAAGGAGTAGAATTGTTACAAGATTCCATGTTTCCTAATTTCTTCTTGTTTTCCCAATTTCTTGGCAACCAAACATAGGATAAAGTATAAGGACTTAGGAAAAGATTGGTTGAATGGACTTGTATCCAAATTTTCAGATTTTCCAATAGTTATTAGGAAGCCTTTTTATGCATAATGTACAGTTTATTGCAAATTTCAATCACTTGTGAAAGTAGTACAGCAATTATTGAACTTTTTTTTTACTATTTCGTTGTTATTATTGTATATATGTTTGAATATTGTTGATGTAGCAAGTCTCATGATTGTTTTTTCCTTTATACCTTATGTGGACACATAATTTGAAACTTTGAACTAGCATTTAGAGACATCGTAGAGCATTCCTTGGCAGATTATCCTGTTAATTTAAGTTTTTCATGCGTTTCACCTATCTTTTAGATTTGATATTCATTTGTTTACAGAAAAAGAAGTCAATGGTCCAAATTTAATCAACAATTAAAACTAAGAATCTACAGTCACACAGACACATTTTCTCAATCTTTTGCTCCAACAGTGAGAAGTTGCAAAGCATGACGCGCGTATTTTATTTTGACTAACAATTATGATAACAAGGCTCCAAATTTCCCATCCTCCAGAACTTCTTAAGAACTCAATTCATTTATGCGAACCGAGCTGAGTAATTGGTTTATTTGAGTGAGTCAAGTTTGATCACAACTGTTAAAAAATTAACCAAGCTCAAACTAAGCTCAGACACTGCTTCTAACCAGCCAAGCTGAGCATAAGCTCTATAAAGTTGGCTTGACTCAGCTTGTTTACAGCCTACGAAATGGCTGATCTCATACTTAAATATGTCTCCTTATAGTGGCCAGTTTAAGCTTTCACCATGTCACCTGACCCCTTTTTTTATATCAAATATATATATATATATATATATATATATAAAGTAGCATTTTGAATACTAAAGAGTTGAACTATCACAAAAATATACTAGGCCAAGTAGAAATTCCCACGTCTTGAAGAACCGGCTGGCTGGTGATTGTCCCTTCCACTTCCAAAACCTTTTCTCCTTTTGCTGATCGAAATGCAGAAAGGAGAGATGACCCTGATTGGGTCTTCAATTTTCTTATTGCCCTTTAAGAAAGACAAAAAAATTAATATTTAGAAGTTGGATTTGATGTGACCTTATTGATAAATTCATGATAGGATAAATTATTTAAGCTTGAAACTTGAACGGAGACTCAAGAAAACGTCATCAGAATATCTCCCATCAGTTAACTGGACCCATGTACACATATTTTTCTGAAAGTAACATGTATGTGTGAGATTTGTCAAACCACCAAATTACAAATTCTGAGTTTCAACAAGAGTATATCTAAAGAAAACAAGGGTTGAAGTAGTTTTTAGTTTAGCATACAGTTGCCAGTTTGAAGAGAGCCTTGCATTCCTAAGCATGCTAACTCTATTTTCTTTCATTAATTCTTTCTTTATTTCTTTGTTTCTGATGCACACTTTCTTATTTCTTTACACTTAGAATAGCCTTCCTTAATTTATAATTATAGTAACATAAAAGCTAAAGCATGTGGTTCCTATTTTGTAGCATAACTACTGCATAAGACTCAGCTTAAATGAAGACTGGACTTATAAATTTGAATATCTGTGTCATGTTCGATTTTCTATTAATAGTTAATAAGTTGGTGTATATGTCTTAAGATGACAGTTCGTGTTCATTCTAGCTTCTCGTGTTTATGGTTATCTTGTTCTGAGATTTGTAACTGTAATTCTTGTTTTGCAAACTAAATCCTATTTGGTGAAAATTTTTATGATCTTTTTTATATACTTTTTTTTTTTTTTTTTTATGAATTTTAGTTATAAATATTTGTGAATATAATGACTGAAATAGGATCTCCCTTTGCAGGATTTGAAAGACTAATTGGTAAATTTGGGTTGAACTTTAGTCTTGAACAAGCTGAAGGCCCTTATTGTGGATTATAATTTTTACAATTGCAGCACCCTACGGTCTTACCATATTTTAGAGTGCTTTCATCACCTCATACTGGTAAGTCATATCTTTAATTATTTAAATATATATATATATTTTTTTTATTCCAGTTTTTTTCATGCTAATAATAAATTGGATGTTAACCGCATGAAGCATAAATCTGTCAATTAAGACAGGCACCCAATTGTATATGAAACAAAGTACAATATAAAGTAACAAAATTTATTAATATATAAACAACAAAATTTTCATTTTTTTATTTTTTTATTTTCTTTTGTGTGTGTGTTTTTGTGTTTGAAGGTTGAAAGATTTGTGTAGTTATTCAGTTGTAGAAGCAACAAAAACACTTCCAGTGCTTCCCAAAAATAAAATCATCATTATCATGGTGTTGTCATAAAACTTTATTTGAAAAAGGATAATTCTTAACTTATTTATTTGACTCGAGAAACTGATGTTATTAATATTTGTGGGCCAATTTGGGTGCTTAATTGGTAATTGATTGTGTGTTTGAATTTTGAATGTCCTAGATTCAAAGGGGGAAGCCACATAAACTTGCACTGAGAATGGCATAGACTTTATAAGTTGTAACCTTCCAGCACAAAATGAGTAGTTGGTAGTCCAAAACTCCTAAATTAAAGGATCACAGTGCTGCTTATTCAGTCTATTAGACAATAATAAAACTCCCAAATATCTAATTGGGAGGGTCCTAATAGAGAAATTAAGCTTTCTGAGAATTAGGTTTTGAGTAGCAGTCTCTATACCAGATCAGAATATGACACCTCTTTGCATTATTTGGAATCAAGCTAGAAATAGAAGTTAAAACTAAATTGAGCTATTGATTCTGTCAGTATTTTAACAGATTCAACATCCCAGCTGCGATTAACATAAGATCATCAACAAAAAGGTCCATTACTTATCCTCTGAGCTGAGCATTTCCAATGGTAATCGAAACCCCCTAGAGTTATTCTCTAATTAAAAATACGAGGTAGAACCTTCATTCCTATAACAAATGGTATGAGGACATTGGATCCTTCCTCCTTCCCTTATTAGGTAAACCATACGACCATTAACATCCAAGGAAAAGAACTTTTCAACAATTTCAATAAAAAAAATAAAAATAAAAACTGTAAGTGTTTTTTTTTTTTTTCCTTTTATCTATTCGATTGGGTTAAGTGATGCTTTATATATGATTCTTTTTGTGTGTTTTACCTATCATTAACGTGCTTAGTTGGATTAATTCCGAAGAATGTGTATTGAATTAATGAATTAGGAATATATGAGTACTCCCAAGTGCCTTTGTAAGCTAGCAGATTTGAGATTGAATCTTTTCAACATGTAATGTGTAGAAGTGCAAATTGGTAAATTTAAGTTGGACTGTTATGTCCATATATGTGCTCTATCCTTCCTTTTTGTATCTAATGTGCCTGTGTTGGTAATTTATTTGTAGATGTTGAATACCCGGTGTTCTCCAAATAAATTCAAGGAAACGGTTTGCAATTTAAGTGAAGACAAAAAGGTTGCCGTACAAGAGATTGGGTTTGGGTCCCTTTTAGACATCGAGTGTACCATTTTGAAGCGCAACCTGTGCTTATGGTTGGTAGAACACTTTGACCCTAGAACATCTCATCTCACCCTTGAATCTGGCGCTCGGATCCATGTTACGCCAAGTGACGTTGAAGAGGTACTTGGCCTACCCTCCGGAAGAGGAGAAGATGTGCCAAATTATATTGTACAAAGTGTGCATTGGTTAGAAAATGGCATTTTTTTAAAGGGCGGTGTAATAGAAGTGCCAAACTTAGTGCATCAATTAGACGTTCTTCCTGTTGGGGATGACTTCAAGAGGGCTTTTGTCCTTTTCGCTTGCGGATCACTTCTAGCACCCATATCGAAAAATGAGACAAGCAAAAGGTTATTGGCAGCGGTTGACAATATGGATGCTATTAAATCGTATAATTGGGGGAAGTTTGTTTTAGATTGGTTGAAAAAAGGAATTGCGTCCTATAAAGGAAAGGAAGGAAGAGAAGGTTGTACATACATACATGGATGCTTGTTCTTTCTCATGGTATGTTCTAAGATATAATATTTGTAATGTGTCTATCATTTTATTTTAAATAGCTATAATGTCATTATCATAATGGCTTATATGTTGTAGCTTTTCTACCTACACCGTGTGGATGTCAATGGACCAAAACCGAAGCCTGAGATGTCATGCGTACGTGGATGGACCAACAAATTAATAGGCGAGAGGTTGAATTTGGAGAAGCATAAATATAATGGTTTCGGCTTCGGTGAGGTAAAGTTTACAACTGATACATCTGAAGATGCCGATAAGGTAATCACGTCAATTATGGCTTTTTATAATTGGTACTAAATATACAGTTATATTTGTATATTCATAATTACTTGGAACTCTACGGTTACATTTATATATTAACTGATATATATATTTATTAAACTTGTTTAAAATTGTTAGGAGTTGGCATATGAAATTATTAAAGTTGTTAAGAAATGGAAGCAACGGCACAATGTAGGCCAAGGCAGGGGGTCGAGATCCTCAGAACCCAGTTCATCCACATGACAACCTAACCCATCTTCGCAATTGTTTGCACAACACCATCCGATTGAGGAGGAAGATGAATCCCACATACCAGTGGAGGAGGAATTCGAAACCTCCACAAGACAAGCAAACTCACCCTGGCAATCTTTTACAAAACACGATCCCATGGAGGAGGAAGGAGAAATCCCCGCACCAATGGAGGAGGAAGTGGGAACCTCCACAGCAATGGAAGAGGAGCGTGATGTGCAGGAAGCAGTGATCCCTTTATTACGTGTTACAAAGCTTGGGAGCCATAAGGGATCACCTTGGGTTGAAATGAAGGTCAACCGATTGCGTGTCCTTCGTCCAGAAGCAAAGGCAGTCATCTCATATGCCATGGATGAGAGCAGAAATGATGAGTGAGAAATTATATAAATAATTTCTTATTTGCTCTATATTTACTTACTTTCTATGCTCAAACACTTAATATGTTATTGTTTAATTATAGTGAAATGCTGGTGAACATAAATGATATTTTCCTCACAAGAAAAGAGATGAGAACAATCTCTTACAATCATTGGATATCAAATATGGTATGTTCACTTAAAGTTCATTGATTTTTTAAACCAATCACACGCATGCATTAATGGTTTAAATGTGATCATTGTAGGTGGTTGAAGTCTATTGCCAAATGCTCCAGCTGAAACAAAAGCGTAGAGGAACCAAATTTTTCTTTCCGCCTTCGATTGGGGTAACAAATTCTTCTATCTATAGTGAGTGTTTGTTTGACACATATTAGGTTATCAATTGTGTGCATTTTCAGATTGAACTTTCCAAGATACCTTCAAAAGTGGTTGATAGGAAAGGTAAAATACAAGCAGTTTGGAACAAGTATAAAAGGATAAGGAATGTCGATGATAACAAAGTTTGCCAATTCAATATGGTAATATTTATCACTTGCAAACATAAATAATTATTATACTTTTATCAAAAAAATATGATTCTAAAAGTAATTAAATTTTTACATTGTTAAATATGCAGCTTTTCTTTCCAATACTTGTAAATGAGAAACATTGGTGCTTGTATGTCTTTAACATTTGCGATAGTCGTATGGATGTGTTGGATTCAATGAAGCAATGTTCGCATGATAAGCATACTCCAGACAAGATGTCAAAAGATTTGGTAAACGCTTATTACATATGAGCTCATTTTTTTGATTATGTATTCATTTACTGTTAAATTAGGACGGTAAAGTATACAAGTTGAAGAACGTGGTACTGAATTTTTTACTCTAATCATTTATATATTGTGCATTTGTAGGTAATGTTGGTTGAGGTATTCACCAGAAGAGATCTACAAAACTTCATATACAATGTGCCCAACGTACCTCAACAGCCCGATAGGTAATTTTATCACTTAATGTTCCTAGTTTGGTGTACTAATTATGTTCACAATTATAATTAACAGATACCTAAACAGTCTTTTATTCAGCGATAGTTATGGTGCTTTCATGTTGGACTTCATGGAGAAATGGGATGGTTCACTCAGTCACCCAAAAGAGAAGGTGAAGCCCAATTCTATTTTTTACATGGGTCTTATTTATTTTTTTCCCCGAATGAAGAAAATACCGAATTACTAAATCACACAATCTCCTCGATACTCTTCGTTAATCATTTAATTCTCTGTTTTCTTCTAAACCATTGGTGCATTGTTAATCTAAGCACCCACTGGTCATTAGTCTTCAAAGGAAGAAATGGGTCTTGCCTTTAAAGGTTTCAAAAAATATATTTGTAAAACTGATCAACATTCCTACATACTTTTGTTCAAGGGTTGAAACTAGAGGGTCTTCAATTCCAATACATGCAAACATAATTTAAAAAATTAATGCAACCACAAAATGCATCCACTATAACGTTTTCCTTCCTCTTCACTGCACTCCCCATTCTGTTTTTACACGTTTTCCAGCTTATACCTTTCTTTTTTCTTTTTGCATCTTTTAAACCCATGTTTATGTGCAAGTACTTCGCTTTCCGATCTCTCCCCGCTAGGCTGCAATGTCATAGTGTCAATAGCGGGAAGACCAGGGGACTACGGCACGTGTTGAAACAAAGAGAGCGGTAAGCACCCCCTTTAGGCAACAAAATTTTCAACCTTAGAACCCCCTAATGCAGTATACCCTTAATGTGTGCCATTTTTTTTGAAAGAGAAAGCATCCAGCTCTAGTGAGTACGGATTTAACATGAAGTAAGCAATAAAATGAACCATGTAATGAATGATATAGAAAATGTTTGACATCCACTGTATAATGGGTCCTATCGAGTAGAAACCAGCTTTGCTAGATGAGGTTTAAATGAATAACATACTCTTAAATATTTTCAGACAGTTTTTCATTGTCAAAGAATTCAGTATGAGATCAGTAGCTTAAATCATCAGTCAACCTTGTTTTTCCTACATCACCTAACCAATTAGATACGCAAATACTGGACTCCTGTCATTTTAAATGAACATATTGCAGTTTATATGGTCATTTCACTGTACTTAGTGGTGCTCATTAAAAATGAACCGAACACAAAAGATACTGAAACTACGACATATTGAAATGAATGATTAAAAAATTTCAAAATAAATAGTCACTTTAAGATTACTTTTGGAATGTCAGAAAAAAGGTGCGTGCCATTGAGTGTTTGGAATCAGTAAAAAGGGATAACTATTTTGGGACAGGGAGATCTTTCGTATTATTAGATTTGTTTTGGTTTTGTTTATGTTCTGTCTCTGTGCTGATCTGACCAAATTGCTAACATATTTCCCAAGGATGAAGCTACCTGTTTATGCAATATTTCACATATAAAAGTTTAGTATCACCGAGATTTTGTGCATATGCCAAATTCAACATTGTTGAAAAAGTTTTCTTTATCAAATATATAGTTTCTGCAACACTAGATTCCTATCTATTTACACTTATATGTATTCACGCATGAAGTCCATTTCCCTATCCTATATTCATGATTTGTCTTTACCTGGTTTAATTTGCAGGTGGATGTTGATAGATTACGTGCAATTATTGCTTCAAATTTGCTTTCAGATGACAATAACAAAATGAAGGACTTTGTAAAGAACAAAGCACTTTATCCATTTGGTCAAGCATGTTGATTTCAAGTAAGCTTCCATCAGCTTACTTGTGGTTAGTAATTTTTTTTATTTTTTTTATTTTTATGATTCTAACATCACCTCCATCAGCCAACAAGGTACCATTTACCTCAAGGAACCTCACATACCAGTATTTGCCCAGTTGGAAGCTAGAGGAAGTGGGATAGGAGGATCGTTGAATTTTCTAAAAAGTGGTACCTGAAATGATGTGGGATATGGGACATTTGTATTGTTGAATAGTGTCATTTTTTTTTTCATGTATTTTACACTCTGTTGGTGTTAGCTATTTTTAAAGTTTTAAAGAATAGTAGCTTTGCAACTTTTGATTGTGGAATAGGTTGGTATATTTTTGCAACTATTGTATGGCTTATTATATTGGCATCTACCTTACATGAAATCAAATGAAGTTGCTCTTTTGGGTTTTCAGGAATTAGTATTGTATGGCTTATTATATTAGGGTCTCAATGAAATTTCTTTCACTACTATATTAATGTACTAATTTCAAATTTGATGGAGTTTAAAACTGAAGCAGTTTATAATGAATGAAAAATTGGTTTGGATCTTCCTTGGTTCCATGGTGTCGATAAATGGATAGTTTAATGAATGAAAAATTGGTTTGGATCTTCCTTAGAGAAAACGTGGTACCTTGACGCCAAAAAGAAGTACATTCAGTTCAAAAAACGTGGTCCCTTTGGGAAAAAAGTAGTACATTTACAAAAGGTACCTATTTTTGCAATTGAAAATGGTATTACACCCCACATCGCTAATTAAGTTGCACATTACATCCACAAACAGCTCCATTAGCGCCATGAATAAGTGTTTAGAGAAAACGTGGTACCTTGACGCCAAAAATGAGTACCTTCAGTTCAAAAACGTGGTACCTTTGGAAAAAAAGTGGTACATTCACAAAAGGAATTTATTTTTGCAGTTGAAAACGTGGTTTTATACCCCACACCGCTAATTAGGTTGCACATTACATCCATAAATAAGTGTTTAGAGAAAACGTGGTACCTTGACGCAAAAAAGAAGTACCTTCAGTTCAAAAAACGTGGTCCCTTTGGGAAAAAAGTAGTACCTTTACAAAAGGTACCTATTTTTGCAATTGAAAATGGTATTACACCCCACATCGCTAATTAAGTTGCACATTACATCCACAAACAGCTCCATTAGCGCCATGAATAAGTGTTTAGAGAAAACGTGGTACCTTGACGCCAAAAATGAGTACCTTCAGTTCAAAAACGTGGTACCTTTGGAAAAAAAGTGGTACCTTCGCAAAAGGAATTTATTTTTGCAGTTGAAAACGTGGTTTTATACCCCACACCGCTAATTAGGTTGCACATTACATCCATAAATAAGTGTTTAGAGAAAACGTGGTACCTTGACGCAAAAAAGAAGTACCTTCAGTTCAAAAAACGTGGTCCCTTTGGGAAAAAAGTAGTACCTTTACAAAAGGTACCTATTTTTGCAATTGAAAATGGTATTACACCCCGCATCGCTAATTAAGTTGCACATTACATCCACAAACAGCTCCATTAGCGCCATGAATAAGTGTTTAGAGAAAACGTGGTACCTTAACGCCAAAAAGTGGTACCTTTAGTTCAATAACATGGTACCTTTGGAAAAAAAGTGGTACCTTTGCAAAAGAGATTTATTTTTGCAATTGAAAATGGTTATACCCCACACCGCTAATTAGGTTGCACATTACATCCATAAATAAATTCATTAGCGCCATGAATAAGTGTTTAGAGAAAATGTGGTACCCTGACGCCAAAAAGAAGTACCTTCAGTTCAAAAACGTGGTACCTTCGCAAAAGGGACTTATTTTTGCAATTGAAAATGGTATTACACCCCACAACGCTAATTAAGTTGCACATTACACCCATAAATAGCTCCCGTTAGCGCCATGAATAAGTGTTTAGAGAAAACGTGGTACCTTTTTTCCAAAAAGTGGTACTTTTAGTTCAAAAACGTGGTACCTTTGGAAAAGAAATGGTACCTCCGCAAAAGAGACTTATTTTTGCAATTGAAAATGGTATTACACCCCGCATTTCTAATTAAGTTGCACATTACATCCATAAATAGCTCCATTAGCGCCATGAATAAGTGTTTAGAGAAAACATGGTACCTTGACGCCAAAAAGTGGTACCTTTAGTTCAATAACATGGTACCTTTGGAAAAAAAGTGGTACCTTTGCAAAAGAGATTTATTTTTGCAATTGAAAATGGTTATACCCTACACCACTAATTAGGTTGCACATTACATCCATAAATAAATCCATTAGCGCCATGAATAAGTGTTTAGAGAAAATGTGGTACCCTGACGCCAAAAAGAAGTACCTTCAGTTCAAAAACGTGGTACCTTCGCAAAAGGGACTTATTTTTGCAATTGAAAATGGTATTACACCCCACAGCGCTAATTAAGTTGCATATTACACCCATAAATAGCTCCCGTTAGCGCCATGAATAAGTGTTTAGAGAAAACGTGGTACCTTTTTTTCCAAAAAGTGGTACCTTCAGTTCAAAAACGTGGTACCTTTGGAAAAGAAATGGTACCTCCGCAAAAGAGACTTATTTTTGCAATTGAAAATGGTATTACAACCCGCATTTCTAATTAAGTTGCACATTACATCCATAAATAGCTCCATTAGCGCCATGAATAAGTGTTTAGAGAAAACATGGTACCTTGACGCCAAAAAGTTGTACCTTTAGTTCAATAACATGGTACCTTTGGAAAAAAAGTGGTACCTTTGCAAAAGAGATTTATTTTTGCAATTGAAAATGGTTATACCCCACACCGCTAATTAGGTTGCACATTACATCCATAAATAAATCCATTAGCGCCATGAATAAGTGTTTAGAGAAAATGTGGTACCCTGACGCCAAAAAGAAGTACCTTCAGTTCAAAAACGTGGTACCTTCGCAAAAGGGACTTATTTTTGCAATTGAAAATGGTATTACACCCCACAGCGCTAATTAAGTTGCACATTACACCCATAAATAGCTCCCGTTAGCGCCATGAATAAGTGTTTAGAGAAAACGTGGTACCTTTTTTCCAAAAAGTGGTACCTTCAGTTCAAAAACGTGGTACCTTTGGAAAAGAAATGGTACCTCCGCAAAAGAGACTTATTTTTGCAATTGAAAATGGTATTACACCCCGCATTTCTAATTAAGTTGCATATTACATCCATAAATAGCTCCATTAGCGCCATGAATAAGTGTTTAGAGAAAACATGGTACCTTGACGCCAAAAAGTGGTACCTT